AATAGTACGGTTTTAGTTTTAATTATTAACACCCTGTAACTCGAAAATGGTTGAGATTTCGAAATAAGTTTTTATGAAAAAGTCACATTATTTTTCGTTGTACTATCTGCTCCCGAAGTCTCATAGATTAAACTTGAGACACCCTGTGTATTATCTTCTACTGCAAACACAGTGGTAGATATAAATTGTAGAATTCAATAGAAAAATGAATAAATTTTGCTCCAATAGAAATACGAAAATGCTTTTTTACAATACAGATATAGTAACTTTTTTCAATGCATCTTTTTCTGTACAAATTAAACAAGACGTTTTAGAATAACTTGAGAAAAAATAAAAATGTCTGCCAAATTTGTCGCCCTCTAGCGGCTAAATAAAACTTTGGTAAGTTCAGTTAGATGTTATTTTAACCCCAAGGATCTGTGGTCCATGTACCCGAAATATGTAATAGAACATGCCGCAATATTGTACTTTATTGACATTAAGCCTCGCTTGAAGCTTTATTATAAATTATTGTCACACAATTTAAATATGTGTATTAAAACATAGCTCGTATAAATCTAGGCAATTCCATAAGTAAACAATTTCCGATAGTAATAGTATACGTGACAAATAACACTTGAAGATAATATAAAAATACAGAAATATTGAGATATACTTTGTAAACCTGATCTTTATAAATTAACATAAAATTCATACCGTATGAAAACAAGAAGGAAAATAATATATACAATATTTCCTTAGTGTCTATTAGTATCTCAAATATAAATAGTACAATAAACACGATGTCTCATACAAGTCTGATGGTCAGAGATTAGAATGTAAACACAAACCTTGTATTTTTAAACTGAAGTATTACTGCATGCCATTATTTCACAGATTAGTTAGCAGTGTGGATACGGTGCGATATTTAACGATATCAGCAAAAATACTTAAGGAATACGCAAGGTGTAGGTATTTACAAAGAGCATTAAGTCATCTTTTTAGTATTAACATTTTAATTTGTTTATTTTGTAATCTGGACATAATGACCAAAACGAAACAGATAAAGCCTCGGTTTGAGCAATGGAAGGTGAAATTATTGATTGTCTTGAAAGATTACGCCCAATACTTAGTTAACAACAATCTATCAACACGACAACCTACTAAAACACAGAAAAAATATTAGTATAAAATGTTATAAGCCGATTCTCTTTGTCTTGAAAATTTTTTACTATTTTTTAATTCATAATTCGCTATTTGGTTACTACCTTATTTGTTACTGAATTATAATTTTCGGAATTTTTATAAGATTCGTTAAATAAGATAATAAATCTAACATTTTATACTTTTACCAGAATTATCTGATATGGAATGCATACCTGATTTGGCGAGTTAATGTTGTTACTTTATACATACAGTAGAAACGACCTTGTCGCTTTGCTTAAGAATGTTTTCGGTGGAATAAATTGAGTGTGGACTATTGCTATTCTCGAAGAATACTTTCAAGAGCAGAAGGCTTGAAAATTCGAGTACATAACTCAAGCGACATAAATCTTATTTTAGAAAACATTTTAAATTTCAAATTAAAAGTGGGTCAGTTACCAATCCTTAAGCAATTTCAGATACTCGATGGTGTGCCTTTAAAGTTGTTGTTATCAAGAATTTTACAAATTTAAAATATTTTGTATCGTGGCATAAGCTGTGTTATTTATTTATTTATTGATTTAAAATTTTAAAATTAAAGCCATGGCATTATGATAACATGATTAAAATTTTAATACAGTAAGCAACAATCGTTTAATAGTTTAATACTAGATCAGTTTTATAATAGAAATATTCTGATACAGTCAAGGGTACGAGTAAGAACAAAAAATAAATTTTTGTTTAAAATTACCAACAACATTGAGTAACAGAATAAAACGCATATTTATTGAACTGAATTACTATGTAATAAAATTATAAAAAGTAAATACAAGGCACTGCACATTCTTTACATAACATACTAAGCAATCTATGTTCAAATAAGTATAATTGATCTATAAAGTTTGAGTGAAAGGAAACAATCATTTTGTTTAATTTTATGGCGAATTACGAACTAATTTTACCATATCAAAACTGATAATATAATATTTAATACAAAAAACTGAAAGTTGGTAATAATGGTCTGATCCTATCAACAAAAATACTTGAAATTAAATTATTTTTAATACCTAGTAAATGACATAGTATTGCAAATGAAATATAAAACACCATAAAGATATCCAGATGTGTGTGTCCGCTTTTTGACCCCGTATCTCTCAAGATAACGAGATCTTAAAGGAGCGGCTTAAAAAACGGGTACCCTGTATGTACAGGGTGTTTTTTTGTGATATACGTTTTGGTAGGAATTCGCGTTTATAGTAATTTTTCTTAAATGCGATAAAGTGGGAACAAAATTCAATAAACATCCCGTAAAAAGTTACATATAATTTCTGTTTTAACTGATAATTCAACCTAGGCAACGTGTTAATTCCATCAACTTAGCGATATTAAATTTAATAATGTATCGGTTCGTTCTTTATTTTTAAACACAAAGATTTTAAACATTAAACAACAATAAATAATTACGTTACGGTTATCTGGACTAATTAATTTATTGCGACTTACTCGTGAAGGCTGTTTTTCTACATAAAAAATATCGATTAGCTAGATTCTGCCTGCTAATGTTTTTTTCTTGTTTTAATAATATAAATCCCTTTCGCAACGATTTTTAATAAACAAGAGATACAAAAAGACATAATTTAATTTGTAGATTAATATTTTCATCTTATAAGCGCAGTATAAATAACCGCAACAACTAATTTTGAGTTTCCAGCAGGGTTGCCAAATTTAATGAGATATCTTGAAGAACTGGACACAATGTGATATGATATGATTGAAATTTTAAGTAAATATGTAACTAATTTGATGTCTTTATGAGCATGTTTAATGTAATTTTATTTTGAAAATTAAATAAACTGTAGGAGTATTTCAAAAAGTAATACCAAATTTATTATAGGCAATGAGACATTTAATTAAGATAACTTTTCTATGCAGACATCGGGTTTTTTTATTATAAGAAATGGTTATGACTGTACCACTTTTTTAACCTCGTGACAACCATTTTGTGGCGTGACTACAGGAAGAAGCCAAAAGTTTTGTGGAAAATAATAAACTGAAATATCCAAATAGAGCATGAGTTTTTTTTATAGAAGTCCCCTATACCATAATCTTATTATTGGCTTTACTGCCTTCACCGAAGGGTAAGCCATTGGCCAAAATTTGTACAGTAACTTTCAGACTTTCATAATTAATTACTCAAATATTATTCATATAAAAGAGAGAGGCCGTGTGACCTAAATAATTGTTTTAATATCCAAATAATGTTAAAGAATTACTCAAATATTACTCAAAGTGCGATTATTGGATATTAAGTATTTATTATTTCACGCTTTTTTCAGACAATATTCCATACTATGTTCATACTCATATAATCAAACAGTGTCTGATATTACTTTCTTAAACTTAAACACCTTCGTAGTTCCTCTTTACAGAGAAATATTATAAGAATTGATCTATATTTAAAATTAATGCAACATATTTTAAATTATTCACTCGAGTTGTATGTTAAAAAACAGAAACAAAGCAGCCTATTTCAAGCTCAGTATCACTAATGAAATGTGCAATTCTGTTAGTTTACTATAAAAATTTTATAAATAGACGAAAAGCGAGCAGATATTGTTTCAGTAAATAATTTTTAATTCTTAACAAAATCTCTTTAATTGTGGATAGGCTGTAAATAATGTTTCTCAATGTGATGGTACGATTATGGCTGACTTTTGCATTTGGGTATCTTGTGTTCAAATTTATTTAATAATTTGCAGGCTAAGTTACCGACCTATATTTCTGTTTACAATATAGGTATCACCTTCGTGATACATATTCTTATAATGTCATAAAAATGTCATTATTCATTATTCATTGATGACGGTTTGTTTTAAAACAAGAAGCTCTTGCCTTGTTTCAATGTTACAGCTGCTATGCTTTTTCAAATATGAAAATCTGGCTCTTTATCGAACACTTGGCAACGTTGTAAACTATTTATTCATTTGACTGAACTGCGGGCGTTGTCTCTCTGATGATGGTTCTCTGTCGCAAGTACAAAAACAGTTTTAGCACACCTAGATCTAAAAGGAATCCTGCTTTCGGCAAATGTGCATTCTAGTTTATACTATTTACGATGGATTTTTTACTTTCTAATATAGTTAGTTACACAAACGGAATTAGAATGCACCCAAACACGCTACTGAAGCTGTTCATGGACATTAAATAGAAAATCGATACTTTATTAATATCATTTGTTGCTAGTTGGTAAAGCAAAACATTTTAATTGGTTGCCGCATTTTATCTGGATTTTATTCATGTCCAATTTCAACGCCTTCATTTCTTCCTCCGTAAAATGAAACATTAGGGACCAAAATTGTTTGATTTTATTCTTATTCCACATTGTCCAAGTTTGGCGATTGATTTTTTTCTTAGTGTATATTCAGGACGTCATTTTTAAATTCAATATGCCTTTATTGCAGTTAGGTTTCGGAAAAAATTGATTAGAAGTTAAAAAAAACTATTATTGATAAGTTTTACCTATAAATCGATTTTTATGACATAAATACTTAGTTAATTTTGTAGCAAAAAAATGATAAAATGACACTGTTGGCACCAGGAACTATTTTACCTAGAAAACGACACCAATAACGATTTAATAAACAGGTGATACAGGTAGATATGCATTAAAAATAGGTTCCAGCACCTTATTCAAAGAGTTGTTAGAGGCTATTTTGAACCGGCAAGTGAATGTTTTTACCTACTTTCAGTTCGCAATAAGCTAGTTGCTATGGATTAATACTCTACATATAAACTTCAAGCAGTAATAATTTTAGGTTTTATTTGAGCCGGAAACAAGCTACGCTACTGTGTCACCCTTAAAATTAAAATGTAGTCACCTGCACAAAACGGTTGCGACGATTGGTGGAACACCTTGTTGCATCTTGTCAAATTCAAATTTGAACTCTTTGGGGTTGGAAGCGGCGAATATCACTCTGGAGACGTTAAACTTGCCGAACACAGTCAGAAACACTTCAGTCACAATATTTACTTGTAATAAAGTTTATCAGCTGCAGATATAAACAATCCAAAAATAGTACTGGATTTAACCGCTAGTCCCTACGTCCGAATCCGCGGAAAACGTAATTTATTTTTTCGTGGCGTTGTAGTTCAGGTCAATTAGATGGCTGCTTAAACGGTTTTTGATTCGTTTTATTGTGTTCTCTAAAGGTATTAAGTTCATTGTACCAAATGTCCCACAACTTTAAGCGGCACTTTTAACTTGTATACTAACAACCAGTGTGCATTGAGAAACCTATCTTTTGGCGCATGCGCCCGGTGTAAGTTCAGCGTATGACGTATCGCCCGTTCGACGAGGAATTTTGTTGGTAGAGGTGGGTGCGAGCGGATTGCTTGCCGTCGAATATCTTTCGGATTCAAATGCGGCGATCGGGGAAGGCTAGCGCAAGGATTAATTTTATTGTTTTGTTTTGCAGCTACTTGCGATGGTGACGCCATTTCGAATTATTGCGGTACTGCGTAGGGATCTAAAGGTGTTCCTTCCAATATCGGACGAATGATCGGTGCGAACTAATAAATACAAAAAACTCGTATTGCGCTTCTCAAACGTTATGCAGTTCGATGGGGTGAGGTTCAACGACATCACTGTAGGAATGACATATATGTCGCCTCCCTTTCCTCTTAGAAAATTAAGTTATGATTTCTCAATATTCCATTTTTTGGTATCAAGGGTGTTTCTGCGTAATTTAATAAAGTAAGATATTGAAAGTGATCATCTGAGAAGAAAGAGTAAGTAGAACCCGTCGCGTAGTCAATCAGTGGTTGTGCTAAACCGAACATTGGTTTGTAATTTCCATAATTGTTTCTGTTTCGCGATTACAGTGTCTTTCTTTAATGGAATTTGTACTTTAGACAATAATTTAAATGAAGAAAAATAACCAGTTTTTAGGCATAATATAGCAGAATATTAAAATTTTAAAAAGGTACCAAACCAGTGGCGGCTAGTGCTGGAGGCTTAATTTAAAATTTCGTTTACAATGTTATATATGTAATTTGTAAAATGTGTAAAATTCGTTTGCAAAACTCTGAATACTCGCCTTTACATCTGTAAAGTGTTTACAGCGGTGGTCATGGTTACCGTCGCGTAGCAGTGAAAAACGGAGTTAGAGTAGCGCATATTTACTATGCAGTTTTGGGATCTGTTTAGTCTAACCCTAGCCAAATAATATACAGGGTGTTTCAGAAAGACCTCCCGTAAATTTAGGGGGTGATAGTACGTCAAAAAATAAGAATTTTTTGTCTTATGAACTATATGTCTATCTCCTCTTGTTTTTGAAATACAGAGCGACAAAATAAAATTTTTTAATAGAATTTTTACGAAAATTTCCAAACGGTGCGAAATATTTTTATGAAATTTGGTATTCCGGGGTTTTTAAGGACGCCAAATGCGCTGGTCTAATTATTTTTTGGATACTTCATAGAGGGCCATAGCTACATTCCTATTAGATTTTAGGTTCAAATTTTTTTGAGGTTAGGTTTTTTGGGCTCCAATTTCTAATGTACACTTTTATTTTCTAAAAATAATGTACTCTTGTTAGAACTTCCTAATGTGTGTTTTCGAGAAAAAAGACTTTTAATTGAATTCTAATAATATGACAGTGTGAAATAAGTGGCTTTTTTCAAAGTAGGCTTATGTCAAAAATTGAAGGATGTCTCATAAACAACGCATAAATTCTTAGTAATATTTTAAACTCTAATTAGTCATTACTAATTACAGTCACTAACTATCACTAAAATTTTAATACAAGGTTAACTAGAGTTTAAAATATTACTAAGAAGACATCCACCAATAAGTTTTGACATAAGCCTACTTTGAGAAAAGTCACTTATTTTATACACCGTCATATTATTAGAGTTCAATTAAAAGCCTTTTTTCTCGAAAACCGTCAACATTAGGAAGTTCTAATAGGAGTACATTATTTTTAGAAAATAAAATTGTACAATTGCACTCTTACAATATTACGGTGTAGAAAATAAGTGACTTTTTTCAAAGTAGGCTTATGTCAAAACTTATTGATGGATGTCTCATAAACAACTCATATATTCTCAGTAATATTTTAAACTCTAATTAACTTTATATCAAAATTTTAGTGACTGTAATTAGTCATTACTAAATACACTAACAATTACTAAAAGGATTTTACGGGTGGTCTTTCTGAAACACCCTGTATATTCTCTGCCTTTTTCTAAATAAGCGTAATTTTTTCAGCTATGGTGTAAAATTTTGTTACTTACATAAATATTCTTTCTTGTGTTTTTAAAAAATGTTATAAAAGTTTAAATTGATTGTAGCACTTGCAATAAAAAATCAATGGTGAGAAAATTACCAAAATTTAATGAACAAGTAATTGAAAAGGTTATTTCGGACACAAGCAGAAGAAAGGAATCACTTTAAAAAATAATGTTGAGTATGTTTTTATTTTATTTGTATTTTAATAGGACCTACTTAAAATAACAATACTTTATTATATTTGATTTTTTTAATATTTTGTACCTAGATTTTTGCACTCCCTGGTATGGATGTTCAAGAGCTGCCACTACAAAACCTTTTGCATAGTTCAGATTTACAAGCAATGCACACATGCAAATGTTTTTAAATAAATGGTCGATGCAGATAGAAAAACATTTGCCCGTAAACAAAAGCAAACGTGAATGAAATGTTTTTTAGTTGGCCGTGAACAAAAGTTCACATCAGAAAATATGATTTATTCGGTTTGAGTATTGTCAGTTGGAAAAATAAGTTTCAAAGTGAAGCTGGTATAACAATTTTTGCAGGCTACATATTTCTGAATTTAAGAAGTGTAGACATTAGGAAAATGAGTTGATACTTTTCAAAATAGAATACATCCTGAAATCCTTTGAGAGATATGAAAATAAATGATGAAGCTGGATTTCGAAATTTTTTGAGAATGACAAAGTTATTAACAGGAAATATATAAATAGTATATATTAATATTTTTTTATGAATAAAAAGTCTATTTGTATTTAAGTAAAATCGAATTTGTAAATATAAAATTTTTTTTAGAAAATATTATTTTTATCTTTTTTTCTGTATCTGTGCTTTTCATCACCCTGTACACTTATAATTAAATATTTTCGTTCTGGAGCTCTTTTATTGAATATGTATGTGATGTTATTGCTTCGAATTTTTTTACCATTTTGTTTATGAGTATAAAATACTTTTTAGTGAACCCTAATAATTTTGTTTAAAACTCGAAGAACGATCGCAAAAAAGTTTTTTTAGTCAATTGCTCATACATTTGTGTTTGTGAATAAAAATGTCCGCACTACTTGTTTGCGGGCAAATTTTATGTTTAAAACTTTTGTTTTCCATGGAAAGGATGAAAACAAAAAACACAGTGCATCGGTACAAATGTTTTACACAGAAAATCGTAAATAGTTTTTATACATGTTTTTTTTTGTTTGTGGGCAAATGTATATAGATTTATTTTGACTTTAGGGGAAACTGTAAACCAATAATTGAATATTGAACTTCAACCTACCTACGTTGCAGTTGTACTTGACGCAAATAAAATGAGTACTTATTTAACTTTCATTACAAAGTGTAAATATAAAATGAACCTCCGATTAATTCACCCGAGAATCAGTGGCTTTGGAATTACATCTTAATTAGTGTCAAAAGAGCTATCTGCCAGAACCTATTTTTTTCAGATTTCGATAGATCTTTTCCAACCAATATTTTTTCGTCTTCTAAGCAATTTCGAAGCATGTGTTAACAAATAAAATTTCAGAAATATTCAAAACGATCAAATATCTGCAACTAAAAGCCAATCATTTTGCCCTAACAATAATTTAAGCCGCGTAAATATTGTGATAAATGTCACACACACAAAACATAAACTATGGCACATAGTTCCACTCTTAATCAAATCTCACTTAATTCAAATGTCAGTGGTTAGGTTTAGTTAAATTTTACAAATAGCTATAATGAAGGATATTTACTAATAGTAAGGACTATAGGACAAAAAGTGTGTGAGTGTGCCTTATACTAAATTTAATATGCCAGAAGAATATTATTAATAGGTGTTTGCAATTAGATAAAACAATGCTTCTATTCTTCAGTGATATGATATTCAATTGTTTCTGTAAAAAATTAACAAGTTTGCTTACATACTTTTATTCTCACACGCTTTTAACTCGAAGAATAACGGTAAGAATAGAGAATGACACTTATAATGTACTAATATCAAGGTAAAAGGCCAGGTATGAAAAAGAAAAATGCAGTTTCTGCAACTTTTAGCTTTTCTGGTTTCTTTTTACAGTGATGAATAAGATACATTAGAAGATGAGGGATCAGGGAATACATATTTAAAAATGAACAGTTGTGAAAGAATAAGGACAAAAGATATCCATTAGAGACTGACTACCTAAACCAGCTAAAACATAATACTGCTAATTTTTTTGTTCACACTGACATTTTTCAAAATTATTGAGAAATTTCATCATAAAATTCAAACTTTGAACGCCCTGTGTCTTTGAAACCAGCAAAATTTGCATAAGGCATATTTGGCTCAATCGACATATTTTGGTTACTAGTACCTCCAGTTTTGAGATTTCCCGGTATAAGTGAAACCACAAATTAACAAATTTTCATGTATGTATTTTTTGTTTTGTTTTCGATTTAGAACTGTGGTACCTGACAATTCTGTAGAGAAATCACAGTCAACTGATCTAAAGATATCGTGAATATATGCATACATAATAAGGGAAGAATAGTATGAAGTGCCAAGAAAATGTTGGCAGTTGTTCGTTTGAAGGCGCCTGACAATATTAATCACTGGTTAATTGCATATTATTATCATAGCATGTGGTCCGTCTTACCAATATTTCATTAGTCGCATAAGAATTAATTTGATTAGTTCAGGTGTCCATTTCGATGATTTTTAAGGCAAACAACAATAAACAGGAATTATAAACAGTATTGCAACGCTTTTACTGTGTGATGTTAGAAATTTAGTAAGTTTGCACGTTTTGTTACTCAAAAAATGTTTAAAATATTTTTATTTTTAGGTCAAATGAAACTTCTTGTGGAATACATACGTTGAAGTATTTGAAAGCTTGCTTTTACTGTATTATAAAGGTTTAAACTAATACCAGAAATCTAGGCATGCCAAAGATATCTAACCTCACAAACAAGGTTCCTAACTGTTGATATTAAGGGAAACAACACTTTATAGGCTACATTTCT